ACACACACACACACACGCGCGCACACACACACACACACACACACACACACACACTCCAGAGTGAAATGGGAAACCGCATCCCGGCTGCCTCCTGCAGGCCAGCACGACCAGAGGGGAAGGGACAAGGCTCTGGGCAACAAAAGGTCAGTCGCTGGTAGCCAGAGTCACCTTAATCCAAGGCGGGGACTGCCAGCTCCCAGGCCGAGGTTGCCCCTTCCCCTCCCTCGATGGCTTGCGGGCTTTGAAGTGCACAGTGTCAGTGGCCAACAGGTATCCTGCCAGGGGAGGGCCACTAGAACCACCGAACACGGTTGTCCCCACCCGTCACACCGCTGTCAGTCGCTCTCCTGCCCATTAGCACCCTCCAGAGCCATCCGACTGTTTTATTCTCCTCGCTGTCAACAAACTGCCAGACTTCTGGTTAGGACAGATAGATGAAACCCCCCCGTAAAAGCCTCTGAAAAGCTCCACTAACGTTATTAGAAACCAGGGGCAGGGCATGGATTTCCCAAGCTCCATGGTCAAGAAGCAACACCACAATTCACTTCAGCAGCGTATATTCCTTCACCCAGGTCTGGCACTAAGCCCCAGCCCCTGCTCGTCTCAGTTCTGGCAACCTTAGAGCTTAGCACTAGTCCAAAAGTGAAATGGCTCTCAGTCCCCAGCAGATGACTACAAAGGCAGAAGCAGCTATGTAGGATTTCATCAAGCAGCAACCTAGACAGGAAAGCACAACAGCTACCACGGGCCCTCCATCTGCTGCAGCCCCCCTGCTCCACATGAAGCAGCTCCCGATGACAAACAGAAGCCCAGAGACTAAGAAAGGAGCCTCAAGGGCCTCCGTGACTCCCAGCACAGGCAGCACCCCCATCGTGATGGATTCCAGGTAACTGTTTGCAGTCCATTCCTGTCTCTACAAACCACCCAGAGGATCTCTCCCCACCCAGCCTCACGCTGCTAAGCCTCCCTACCCTCTTTCTTCCCCACGCCCGAGAGCCAGCACCGACCAAGCGCCAACATCCTTGGGATGGGAAGATATTCCAACTGAGGAGAGCAGTCGGGGGGGGGGCGCTCTGCTACACAAATGGGAGCAACGAGGCCAAAGCTATCAGAGTTTGGGGGTTTCCAGTGCCGCGTGTAAATCAAGGGGCAGAACTCAGGAGTCATGACCAAGCTCATCCACAGAAAGGAGAAATGGAGGAGCTAATGTTGTGTGTGCCCTGCAGGAAGCAAAAGCCTAGAAACGGATAACCTGTATTGTCCAAAAAGGCAAGGCCAAGTCCAACTGACTGGTTCAAAGGGAACAGCCTTTCAACAGAGGAAGTGGGGATGCAGGGTAGTGAGAGGGCTGGAGTGGTCAGGGAACTAAAGATGCAAGGCAGTAAGGAAGGTGGAAAGCCCACCCCCAAGCTTTGTCTTCCCTAACTTGGTGGCTTTTCCATTGCATTCACAAGATACATCCGAGCAGACAGGCTCAAGGTGAGGAAGAGGGGAAGGAGGAGAGGAAGAGAGTGTAAAGGGCACCAACCACAGTGCCAAAGTGCAACAACATAAAAAAAAAAAAACAACAAAAAGTAAAACGACAGGACACTCATTCTGCACTCAGGGCTCATACCATGCAGTAAGAGGGGCGGCCGGGGCTGCTCCCCACCAGTAAACAGGGAGTTCGCTCGCTTAGTAGATCGTTTTTTCAGCCCACAAAGTAGGGTTGCCTAGCCAATGAGCGGTGATGTTCTTCAGTGAGACTGGCCGGTTGGGGAATGTGCTGCTACAGAACGGGTCTGTTAGCAGGAGCACCCGCTCTCCGTTACTGGCTGCTCAGGAGGTTTCTCTAGCTTGATGTCAATCACTGCAGGAGACAAGTTAAGGAAATCACGTGGTTCGAGGAAAGAGCAGAGAAAGGGAGCAGTGTCTGGAGAGGTTGTCAGCTATCCCTTCTGCTGGAGCAGAGCACATCCTGCCTGAGCAGGATTAACTGCAAAACCAGCAGACTCAGTGTGTCAAGACTGTTTAGAGGCTCAAGCCCGGTCAAGCAGGTCTGCACACAAGAAAGTCCTGTGCAAAAAGATGAAACAAACTTTCAGAGTATTTTAAAATCATGTAGATTTTCTCCTAAGCTTCAGTGAAGAAAGCAAAACTTGTGCTTGCTGTTAGAAGTAGTTGTGTACATTTCTATAGAGACCACAAGCAGGGTCCTCGATTTACACTCAGCCACCTCTCTGCAAAACCCCAGCAAGGCCCATCCCCACAACGTGCCAACAAGTCTGTTAGCTCAACCTAAACAAATTGTCAAATTCTAGAGAACAAGGGGAAAGCAAGGATACTGTCTTCTTTGCTCTTCTCTGGTGTGCTGTCCATCCCAGGTAAGGCAGCAGCCACACGACGGAAAAGCTGGAAAGTAACAAGAGGTAAAAGCTGAAGGCTTGTCAGACAAAAAAAAAAAAAATCATGTTAAAAAACATTGCTTTACAGCAGATCAGAGTCCGAATTGCACAAACTTGTCACGTGGGTAATTCAGCAAGCAGGGATCAAACACCATGAGAATTTTACCTAAGAAATTTAATAGGATTTGTTAAAGAAGTTATTCAATGCCCTCAAACCTGTTTTATTTTATCTATTCCTACTTGAACGGAATATGGAATTAATTAGTAACAATGCTTCCAGGGATGCATAAGCCACCTCCCTCCTGCACTCAGTGAGCCTGTCATTTACTCATTCCCAGCCTCACCAGCTTCTGCACCCAGCAGCGCTACAGTGCACAGTCTGGGACTTCTGATAAGCAACCTCAGGAGAGACCCAAGGTTTAAGAAGTCTATGGAATAACTGGGGTTTAACAGCCCATCCTTTCAGTTCAGTCCTGCTGCAAACCAGCCATTTCTGAGCAGAACAGCTGGCTCAAGAGAGCTGCATTGAAGCTATTAAGGATGGGCTAGAGGTGGGAAGGACTATCATATCCCCCTAAAAAACAGAAAATGGTTTTGCACAGTTTTTCAAGTCAATGCTTAGAGCTCCTCCTGCTGACATTAAGGCAGCAGCTAACACCACAGAGCCACCACCAGGCAGGCTGAGGAAAAGCACTGCATAAAGAAATCATCAGCTAGGGATGATTCTTCTCACAGTTGCATGGCAGGGGCTTCTCATCCACACCTCCAAACTGTGTTACTTGGAAAATCAAGCCAGCCCAGCGCTGCAGTTAGCATCCTTTTAGTCACAGATGTTCTCACTGCAAACACCCGCTAAGCAAATAAAGCAACAGTAAGTTAGAACCAAGGGCTAAAGTGGATTCAACGCAGAAAAGCCAAAAAGAAACAAACCCAAAGTCTCCTTATTGCACTGTGAGGGTCTCCTAAGCTGCTGATGTGCAGCAAACTCTACGTATGGTTCCCAGCTGACACCAACAGTACCTAAGCTCCCTGCAGAGCCCTGGGCCTTATGCCCCAAGTTGTCACACTTCAGAACGATTCCGGAACTAGTGGAGAGCAGGATCACGAGCTTATAGCAAGAGGCAATATGGGCACAAGCTGCAATACAAGAAATTCTGCTTAAACGTAACAAAAAAAGTTAATTTTTTTTTTTTTTACTCTCCAGTCAAACACGGGGACAGGTTGCCTGGAGAGATAGATGGAGTCTGTACCCTTTGAGAAATTCAGAACTCAACTGGTGTTACTTCAGCCTGCTCTGAGCATGAGGGCTGGACTAGACGATCTCCAGAGATCCCTTCCAACCTCAACTATTCTAAGATTTTCCTCTGCGGCTTGCAAACAGAGGCAGGAACTTCCACCCTAGTAGAATCAGCATAAGCAATTATCCTGACTGATGTCAACACTGATTTTAGGAAACAGTGCATTAACTGTTAACAACAGCAAAGGGAACGTGCAAAATTTTGTTTGGCTGCACAAGACAGCGCCGTTCCCATCGCTCAGCACATTCTGGTTTTCAGTTCCTCTTTCTTTCAAGGTAAGTTGGCTGAGCTTTAACAGGGAACCACTGACTTGACAGGAGAGGAGCTTCCACTAGGTAAAGCAGCAGCGAACATTGGGCAAGAAGCACCTCAGGGGTTGACTCTAAACAATATAAGCAAACATCTGATGGAACAGAACACCACGCAGAAGCATACACAGAGCAGTAAAGCACAAGATTTCCTGTCGTTAGAACAGGACATTGATCTACCTGTTTCACATTGTAGCCAGTCTTTGCACTGGTCTCAATAAACATCACATTCAGCTCTTTGGCTCTCTGTTCACCTTCTTCTGTAGTGATTTGCCTGGACAAAGATGCAAACAGAAGCGGGAAGACAGAAAAGGAAGAACAGACAGGAAGAGTTAGAGATGTCCGTGACGGAGACGCTCTCCAGCAGAGTGGCTGCTTCACCACCCCTTACAAGAGCACAGAGACCACCAGGGAGACCTCAGGACCCCCCAAGTTTTTAAGACTCCCAGATCCTCCAGCTAAGAATGAGACAACCTCAGGTAAGTTACCAGGGGACCCTGGACTTAGGACTATTAGTAACAGATGAGCAGCACAGGATGAAGTTTGAGCAGTACGTTGGAGCCTCATTCACAGCATCCTCAAGGGAAGGAAGAATCCCCAAATGCTGCACCTGATATAAAAAGCAGTTTCCCAAAAGTTGACAGAAGGGAAGGTTACAGAAAGATTTCAGAAAGGCTCCAGCAGCGAGTGCAGTGCAACAGCAAGTGGTAGGCTGCTGCCCGCGAGCAAGCACCTGCAATGGCATCTCTGACCAACAGCCTGTACATACCTGTTTCACATTATATCCTGCTTTAGCACTGGTTTCAATATACATCATATTCAGTTCTTGGGCTTTTCTCTCACCCTCCTCTACAGAAACCTGTCTACAGCAACGAGAACAAATCACAGAAAAGAAAAACCAAAACAAAGAAAAATAGTCCAAAAAATGATAAAAAGAAAATTGCAGGAAAAAAAAAAAACAGCTACCAACTGAAGCAACATTAAAAGGAAAGAAAAAACTTAACAGGCTGCACCAAATAGGAACAGTGCTATTTTTAGTTCAGCTTTTTGCCCTCAGAGCTTCACTTGCATCATCACTTGTTTTTTACCCGAGGACGAACGGCTCCCAATCCGCTGTATTCCACCTCGAACAATGTGACCAAGCTCAGAGTGATACTGGGGCTTTGTCCGGCCTTCAAAGGCTTTCAGCACAAGACAGATCTAACTTCCTTTTAAAAGAAAGGCCAGGCAGCTTCCTTTAATGGTACCTGGATACACACCATGAACCCAAATTCTAGCCTAGACCAGAAGGCAAGGATAGAGTCACTTACATTAAACTGATACTCTCATTAAACGTCTAAAATAAGAATTTCTAATGCTAAATGAATTTCAACTGTAGCTATGTTTCCAACTATTTTCTGGTCTTTCTAATTCTTAAGCAGTGCTGGGCCAGCTGTCCTGCACACACGCTTCACTTACATACCATCAGGAAATAATCCGAGGCTGAAGTTATCCCATTGGGTTTTCCAGCTCCACGCAAAACTGGATTTTGATAGAAATGTCTCAAGTCTAAATGCCAGGTTATTCAGTTAGGGACCTGCAGTTATTTCTAGCTCCCAGGAGGACTGAAGAGATACCAAGTGGTCAACACCCAGAGCTGGCTCAAGTAGAACTTGTTACTTTTTGTAAGCTGATTTCAGAGACCAGACTGATCTGAGGTCTTGCCACCTGGAATTCTTAATCCAAATGAGCTATCTAGATATATTTTAATCAAATTTCTGAAGCTCTGAGCAGAAGTTTTACTCAGTATTTCCACAGTGCAAAGCACAGGACGCTCAGAAAGGCCTCCCACTGCAAGTGGGAAAAGCCAAATAGCTGCCAAGACTGAGGTGGTCTGCGTGGAGGACACAGAACACATTTCTGTAAGAACCATCAGTACAAAGTCCATGGAGTGCCCAGCTGGAGTCTAACGTTATCCTTTTCCCCACCGACTCAAACCACCTGCCATTATTAGAATTGTCTGTGCTTTTCCTGCTAGGCACGGCAAACTAAAATCTAACAGCACGACTCATCCAGGGACTGGGGGCAAAAAGCATCTCCTGACACCAGGCTGTGCACCAGGGATGCTGGGTACAATCTCATATGGGCATTTGGACAACAGCAAAACCACAAGACAAAACCAGTCACAGTATGTTCTGAAGCAGTACGTACGCTGCAGGAGTGAGTAAAGCAAGGTTTAGAATTTAAAATGTGGTAGCATCCAACAGTGAAACAGTCAGATCCCTATTAGGCCCATCACCCCAAGGAACAGAGTAAACAAACAGGCAGGTCAGAGAATAGTGCAAGGTTTTTCAGAGAAAACATGAACATTCAACCTGTAAGGCTTTTCAAGCGGTTATCTTTGATCAGAAGTGTCTCGTGAACAGAGAAGGGTTTGATTTTGTAAGACCCCATTTTCGCTGTGAGATCCAGGTGTTTCCCAGTTCAGCCGTTTTGAGGTGCTTTCTTTTGCATCGATAAAAGTTCCCCATCATTTCAATACTTCCTATGTGCTACGACACACGACGAGGCACACACATGGTGTCTGTGAAGATGTTTCAGTTTAAAATAATTGGGACTGTAAGGAACCACACGGCTTACTCCATCTTCCCTTTGCCAACTACTAACCATTAAAATAAAAACCTTTCCTCAGTGACACTGTTTCTGATGTCTTCATAAAGAATTAAAATCTCTGAAAACAACGTTTTTGTTAAATCAACAATCGAGAGAATCTGAAATAGAAAAAGTGCAAACCTGTGGTTTTTCTAAACTGCCATTACACTGGTTACGTTGGTTGAAGCGCTGTTACAGGATTAAGAGTTTTAAAAGCAAAATGCTTTATGACACGTCCCAAATTATTAAGTCCACGTGATTTTAAGAGTCTAATTAACTTTTTACGTCTCTTGAGGAAGCCTGCTTTTGCTGATCTAGTTTCCTCTCACGCATCCACAAGATCAGTTTGTGTCATGTATGACATGAAATTTATGCTCAGAGGGAAACCTTTTAGACTGATACTGCAAAAACTCGTGCTGCATCTTGTAACAAGAGACTTTAGTAGGAACTTCCAGTTGCACATGCAGAAAGAGTCATGTAAACAGGAATACTGAAAAAAGGCACATTTCCTTGCTTTTGCATGACATCTTTTTGGCTTTACCTCAGCATGAAAAGGAAAATCAGACAAAATACACCATTGAGAAACATTGCATAGAGACTTAAATTTAAATAAAAGGAATTTTTTTTAGGTAGGTTTCTTTAAACCAAAACTATTTGTGGAATAGCAAAAGGGAGTGATTTTGCTTATGCCCAAACCAGAAATCGAATTTCATGACAAGGTATTTATGCTTCATTTAAACATCAACAATTGAAGATGGACTAGTTGGCCAGTTCCTGGCTTTTACTGGTCAGGGCAGCAAGGCCGCCAGCTTCTCCCCCCCACCATTACCTCTTGTCTGCCAGGTCAGTTTTGTTCCCCACCAACATGATGATGACATCGCTTCCTCTCTCTGTCCGAACGTCATCGATCCACTTGGAGGTTTGCTGGAAAGAATTCAAGTCTGTAGGGAAGAATCAGATGGGAGTGCTAAGGATAAAACTTCTTCTCAGAGAGGGAGAACGCTACACCTGCGCTCTCCGTATCTCCCCACACCACATATAAATGACCCAGAAATCATTTTCCGCTCAGACAGAAAAACAGGGTTTGGGGGGGGAAAAAAAACGTTTTGAACGTTAAGTATCTTTCTGCAGAACTTCTGGTCGTAACTTAAAGAGTTCTGCTGACGGGCAGGATTTCAAACAACGCGACACGGAAGCATCACTCACTTGTAATGTCATAGACTACCACAGCAATAGTGGAGTCGCGGATGTAGCTGGGGATGAGACTGCGGAACCGCTCCTGGCCTGCTGTGTCCCAGAGCTGCAGCCGAACCTGCTGGTACCAGGCCAGGGAGAGCAGAGAGGACGAGCGAGCAGGAGAAAAGAAAGGAGGAAACTGTCCTTTAGAGAAAAGGCCATTTCTAGAATAAACCACACGCACTTCAGTCTGAGAGGCTGACCTCGTAACCTTGCCCCAAATACCCCCCACACCACAGAAGTTGGGTTTTCTGCCTCTGGCAGTAGATATTGTGCTTTAATGACCTGCTCTGCTTGCCGAGGGGTTCTGCTGAGCCCGGAGAGCTCCAGGTTACACTGCTGACAGCCGTAGCTAACAAGTCACAGAGAGCTGGCCTTCCTGGTCTACCCAGAACTTTCCACAGGACTCCTTGCCTAAAGCATCTCAGACCAGAGCTTTTTGGGCAATTCCCACGTGACAGACAAGCAATTCCCTCAACCCAGACACCCACAGTAAACCAGCAGCCTTTCTCCAGCATCAAGCATCCAGAAGATGGCAACGGGGATTTTCAGGCAAGATTAAGGCAATCAATAACTGATGTATCAAAAGCAAACGTGACGTGCTCTAGGCTTCACGTGACACAAAGGGCACCGGGTTCTCTTTTTCAGATAAACACAAGAGTCAGGAACAAGCACAAACGCGATGACAGGTCCAGTTTGAGCTCCAGAACTGCGCTCAAACACAAACTGACCTGTTACATACGACAGCTCTAAGGTCTTGGACCTGCTTATTTGAAACAATAACGGTCAAAACGTGCCCAACTACCACAGTGAATACTAAACAAAAGCTTTCCACATACCATTTCCTTCCAAGTCATTACCCCACACGGCTAGCTGTACAAGTAGCTGCCAGAAAACAAGATTGCTGTTGGCATTCTCAACAGGCACGAGTTTCACAGGAGGGCCGATGCTGGATCCCAGCTTAATTACACAAATTGGTTAGATGTGCTCACAAAGCCACTTGTTCAGCAGTGAGGGAGAGCAGCTGTTCATGCACAGGACAGCCGTTAATAAGGCAGCTTGCAGGAGCCTGGCTACAAGGGAGAAAGGAGTTTCAGAAGGACCAATAATTGGCTTGTTTAGAAGAGAAACAGAAGCTGGACAGAGCGTATGTCTGCAAAGTGTCTTGCTACAAACAGATTCAAACAAACATGGTGCCCACATCAGGGTATGTAGATCTGATGCCCTGGGGCTTAAGGAAGATTAAGGCTTATAGTTAAAGCAATCAGCTCATGCTTCATTTTGAAGGCAGCCTTGATTACAGTAGCAAAAGTCAGGGCTCTTCATCACCCCAGAAACTCCGGGTGACAAACTCCAAGCACCTGCACAATATTACGTGGGACTGGAAGACCAGATTGGTAAGGACAGCTTCTGGACTTCACAAGCTTCCACAGAGTCCCCCAGACATTGCTGCTCCACCAGAGTGTTCACCCAGGAAGTTTACCAAGGGGGTGATTTAAACACTCCAACACTCAGACTCACAGGCAAAAAGGCAACTAGAGGAATAACCACAGAACTGGGGAAGAACTTGTAGCACGGGGTAATGCTATTAGAGGGAAGGCCTTCAGCCACTACGCAGGTACCACGCAGGCATCCCTGAAACGACCTGAGAAAGCTGCAGTATTGCTGTGGCTTCTCATTTCTAGAAGTCACGTTTGTGTGCAGCCATTTTGGAGGGGAAGAAAAAAAAAAATATATAAATAAGCCACTCAAGCACGACAGTGTGCTAATGACCTTACCAGTCAGGAAAGATGAAAGGTCAACCAAGAATTAACACAGCCTCTCCTCAAAACAGGTAACTTGTTCAGAGAGGGACCTGAGAACAGACTTTCACCATGGCGCTCTCTACAGGCCACTTGCATTCCAAGCTGCCCAGCAGATTAACCTCTTTTTTTTCCTCAGCTCCCCACATGCTACCAGTTTTTCTCTACTAGTCAAGAGTATCTTGGCTGGTACTTAAGTATGTCCTTTGGGACTGTCCCTATTTCACACTACTGTGACCAGCATTAACTTACAGGAGACTATCTGAGGTTCCCAAACACAGCTACCATTAAAGACAGTGCTGATAAACAACCCTGCAGAGTGGTAAAGGAAACTGTGTTTTCCTAATCATCATCATGCCCTCAGAAGTACACGAACACGTTCCTTTAGCAACAGGAGAAACCTAAAAGCTTCTCAGTCACTAAGAGCAAAGAACAGTAACAAGAACAAATGAAAGTACCTGAAAAGATCAGTCCATTACCAAAGTATGAGATCAGCTTAATTATTTCTGACACGTCTGGAAGCTGTTAAGAACAGCCTAGACTGGCAAAATTTTTACACCTGCATGGATAAACAGCATCCTGTGCCTGTCACAACAGTGAGGAGAAAAGATGCCAACCTCTGCAGGCTGCCACGCTGCCTCACCTAGATGAGTTCCCAGAGCATCTCAGCACTCCTCAAACCCCAAACAGATCAGTTTTACATTAGTTTGAACCAAACCAGAAATCCTCCCAGAGTCAACTACTTAAGCTACAGGACTGGGAGAAAGACCATACAGTTATTTGCCCTCAATATACAAGATGAATCATAAGAAAAGTCTATTATTTGTTAAGTGCTTCAGTCAACCAACACAAAACAAAGCCCTGGTCCGTAAAGCCCCACTACAGTCTAGAGTTTGTGACAGAATAAAGGTGGGCCAGAGGTTTTTCATCTGCACTACACTCTTTATTTAAGACTTTGTCCACATGGTGTTGGCCCACTGGTATAAATCCTGTCTAGATATTTATGCTGATACTGTAGCTTAACCAAAAAAGCCAGATCAAGTGGAATCAATAACAAGGAGTTCTAATGAAATAATTGTATTCATATCTTTGTATCTCATACTAAAACATTCATGCCAAGAGTTACAGAGAATTCCCCTCTAAGCTTGTTTATTCTTTAGTAATTATGGTAGTTACATCTCTTCTCTTCCAAAAGCTCTCATTACTCATATGAATCACCAGCTCTCTTCTTCAATGAAATGGGAGACTTGAATCCTCACAAGTTGCTACACAGCTTTTATTTAAATGGGTGTTGCACTGTTTTACCTACTCTGACAGTGTCCCTTTGCCTTGGCACCTGAAGTTGTTACTTGTATTACAACTCTGGTTATCCAGAAAGGAAAAAAACCTGTTATCATTCTGAGGTTTAAGAAAAAAAAAAAAAAATCCAAAGCAGAAAGAGTGAAAAGCTTTCCAAAGGCTACCAATCACCCCTCATTCCCATCAGCACAGACACATGAGAAGTCACAATCCCTATTCACCCATCTGCCAATCCTCTGTGTGTCGCCTCCACCGTTGGAGCTTTGAGCAGCCCTGGGTTAAACAATTCCCCAGTTGCTGAATTATGGGATGGAGTTACCCCTGGTTGTGGGGGAAGATGCTCAGTTATTTCCTCTCTGCCCATGAAACCCCTCTGGTCCTGCAAGACAGCCTGTCTTAGCTCCTTTCGGATAACCACCACCACTTGCAATGTGTAAAAGGTCCATGTTAAAAGCAAGGTCCCTGCAGCCGCTCCGGCTCAATACCTACTTGTAATGTCAAAGACAATGACAGCCACAGCAGAGTCACGGATGTAGCTGGGAATGAGGCTGCGGAACCTCTCCTGGCCGGCTGTGTCCCACAGCTGCAGCCTGATCTGGGAAATGGAAAAGTGCAGGGGAAGAGGGAAGGGGAAGAGCAGGAAAATGGAAAACAAAACCAAAACTCAAGTGAAATAAAAATAAAAACAAACAAAAACTGCAAGGCAAAAATAACGCAACAAAAGGAAAGTTAAAACGGAACAGAAATGTGAAAAGAGCCAACAACACTTGGCGTTCTCACAGAAACCTCAGCCTGGCCCATCTGAGAAACCTCCACAGACCCACTAATAACTCACACAAACACATTCTTCTGTTTAATCATAAAACCAAGGTATCCCTAAAAAATACCTTCTCACGCCATCTGCTAAGGAGGGAAACAAGCATATACATACCTCAGGGCATCCTGCCATGCCAGGACTCCGGCTCTAAGGGCCCCAGGAGCAGACTGCAGCCTACAGGTAACTAGCTGGGGTCAGTCCTAACAGCAAGGACATCACCCCGCTACCGCTTCACCCGCGGGAACGCCCGCTGCGGCGAAACGCAGCGCTGGGGTACGAGCCAGACCAGCAAACACCCTCTAAACTGGCTTATCTTAAATCCAGCAAGTCTGGGAACACAGAAAAGGAAATACTACTCGGTCTTTCAAGAATGAGGTTGTAGCTGTAAGGTTGGCAGTCTGGACTGAGGACGAGGCTTCTCCTGGCCCCAGCTGACTTAGTGCCCCAGCGCACTGGAAACGTGCTGGAAATGGGGTACTTAGAGCTGCCCTCAGCGGGAGGCTACTGGAAATGGCTTTGAAAAACCAAATTCCACATAGATTTGTCCCTTTTGCTGGCTAGTATGCGCTACCCAGGCTGTATTTAGAGCTGAGTGATCTAGCACAGGTATAATCTCAGGATCTATTATCTGGTCTAAGGACATATCAAATATGCCAAAGCATATGCCGCAGTTAGAGGCTTAGCAGTCTCCATGTCAAGCCCAGCAAAGCCTATTGCAAAACACAGCATTAGCCATATCAGATAAATCATTTCAACGTCTGAATTTTACTAGCTTGTGTGCTTGTATTGCTCCCTCCTCTTATCTACATTCAACACCTCTGTTATTTAAACAGGCTTTATGGGCTCTGTGGACCACTCGCATAATCAGGAAAGCTAACAGTATGTCCAACATTGGAAAGAAAATGTGATTTTTCTGGCTAGCGGGCCAGCAGGTGAATGACATCCTGACCTACACAAGCACAAGAAATCAAGACTACACTGGCGGAAAGGGCATAAAGGCATCCCAACTTCACAGGGGTCAAGCAGCACTCCCAGGCTCTTTTTCTTCTCCTGCCACTGCCAGTACTGCCGCTGAACGTTAGCCAAGTAGTTTCTTTCATACGAAGATTAAGCAAGGTCTTTTCTAATAGTGAATCCCAGGTGAGATGGCAGAGCAGCACTCAGGAAACTCACCACACACACCTGGCTGAGACTTTTTGAGAAGCAACAGACCCAAAGCAACACGAAGGACTTCCACTGCACCACCGGGCCCTTCCTCCCTGCCACAGTTTCCCAGTTCTCAGGCAGCAGTAAAACTAGCAAAATGGCAAGTCCTAGCAAAACATAAACTAATGAAAAGACAAATACTGAGAGACAGGAGAGGGATGGGAGGGATCTGTTTATGCAAAAAGGAAGCTCGTGCAAGCTAAATCCAAAATGGCATTATTATCAGTATGTCAGAACTGTGGTGCAAAAGGAGCCTTTCTCCAAGGAGGAGCTATGCCACCGCTGGTAATCGTGAATGTCAAGACTTGGGACTGCCTGGGATCTGCTCAGACCCATTTATACTGACAATCCCAGGGGCAGAGCTGCAAATTCTGGCAGCAAACTACACCTAAGGTACATATAACAGACAGCCCGTTCCCCAACATACAGACATTAGCCTGCCCCAATTCTGCATGAAAGATTCTGACTTGACTCTAGAGGTATCAGATACTACCACGTATCAGAAAGAGGAGAGTGGGTCAGCGACTGGACCCAACAAAGGCCTCTGTGGGATTTCAGCAGCCGTTGGGAGGCACGGCCAGGCGAAGGAGCACGCACGCTGCCGTTGCCATGCTATCACACAGATGCCTCACTTACCGTGCGATCTTCAAGATACATTGTTTTTGACAGGAAATCAATGCCAATGGTCGCCTGAAAAGAAGAAAAGCATTAGTAGCTGCAACTTGCCTTCCAGCATCTGAAGATCAGATCTTTCTATACAAACTCTCAGAAATATTCACAAACTTATAACTAAGATGCTGAAGTCATCTGCCTTCAATACAGTTGATAAGAACAAAGCAATCTGGGTATGTGCACCATCTTCATTTCACATCATTCTTCCAGCAATTCTCAACGGCACAAGAACCTCCGAGTCTCCATTTTAGCCTCAGACATTCATACATATTACCACAGATCATATCTGACTGGCATCCCCTTCTGGTCCACTCTAATTCAGTCTGTTAAGAATGATCTTATTAGAAACAACCAAAAGGTAGAGCAAATTGTGGGTGACTGCTGAAAGCTAAAAAGCGATGTTTATTCAGGGCTTTCCATATCAGAACGTGCTTCCTTTCCAGTAACATTCAGAAGCTTCATTACCCAGGCAGCTCCTTCTGTACGTCTCCTTCCACTCACGTTTCCATTGCTGTACAGCAATTCCGGTACAAAGACATTTAAAGTCATTTCCTAAGTTAGATGTGCTCCCAGACACTTAAAGCAAGCAGATGTCCTAGCCCATCATCACCCCAGGGAACAAGTTACGGATGTAACAGATTTTAGTATTTTAGACAGATTATCTCTAGTCTTAACACACGCAGGCAGCATAACGTGTTCTGGCAGGTCTGAATCAGAACGTGAACCATTTAACATTAGAAGAGCCCATAACAGTCAATTGCTGTAGTACTTATTTCTGGGAATCCTATTCTGTGCAGCCAGGACACAGTTTATAACAGCTACAATAAGCAGATAAATCTGTGAGAGCACCTTACAAAAGTCAGGAAAAGAAACACAGAAAGCACCAGAGGATCCAGTTCCAGTGATTGACTTCCCCTCAAGAAAACAATCTTCTCTTCTTTTTCCAACTTAAAATTACCCTAATCTAGACCTGTAACTCTTTCTGCCCTGAATTATAACATCCTAGTCTCATCATCTTTAAAGATATTTGGTATCCCCTTGAAATACTGCTGTGTGCTTTCGACGAAACTAACTTTGCCTGAAATCTTCAGGCCTCTTAAACACCTTCAGCTTTTCATCTGCAGCCTCTTCATTCCTATCCTGCTCTTTCCTCACCAAGACTTTCCTGTTTTTTTCCATCTATAGCCTTTTAGTTAAAAAAAAAAGTAATTTTTTAAAATTTTAGTTAAAAAAATAGTAATAAGAGAGAATATACCATGCTGCTTCCTTACAGATATATCTATACACTCCAGACTCAACTATTCCTACTTAAATCTCTAAAGGTGATACAAACATGCTTATGATAGTTCTTGGTCTGTATCTTATTGATTCTGATTCTCTCTTCTTCCTGAGACTTCCACATCCATCGTCAGGCATCCTGACCGCCTTCTCTGTTAGCCAACCCATAAACCAATGTTTCTCCCTGTTTTCCTCAAGGCTTCTCACTCTGTATTTCCTGACATCATACCAGGTGCTTGGGCTTAATCATAAAGTCTTATCTCCATTTCAAGGCACATTACAGCCTTACATATGATATTGAACTGACATCTCATGGACAAATGTGCTTTGCCTTAACAGTTCTCACAGGCATCCATTTTAACAGCAGGGAATAGATTTACCCATATATACTTTTAATAAAAAAATAAATAAAAAAAAAGACTACCACATACCTGGTAAGTATTGTCAAAACTGTCATACATAAACCTGGTGATCAGAGAGGTCTTCCCAACTACAAAAGAAGAGAAAAATTACTTTCAAGCAGCAGGAAGAAAAAATAACCACTGTTTTGGGAGTGGCACGCTGGTAGCACTGATCATCAGAACGAAGCTGCCAATCTCAGGCTATTTCTCAGCTAGACCCTCCTGTGAAATAACCAGCTAAGAAATTCATTCACAAAGGGATAAAAATCAAATCAAACTCAGTAGGGCAAAAATAAATCGTGATGAAAACTCGGTCCTCAAATTAGGTACGTTGTGATGCATATGACAAAGAATTATTTGCTTTGAGCAAGCAATAAATCTGCTTTGTTACTCGTTTTGCTACTTATGTAATCACCAAGTCTAGGACTTAAAGGCATAAACATCAAAACAAGACACGGTGATGCCCCAGACACTCTTTAGCTGCTTCTGGCTGGGTCAAAAAGCAACTCTCAGGATTTACATCCTTTTTTCATAACAAGATTTTAGATACAGTGTTAACTTTGGTGCCTTGCTTCAAAACTCAAAATTGACATCTCCAAATGATATCAAGAGACAAAGTGCAGAACCGACAAGAAACAGGAACCAAAGCTAAGAGCTTCGATTCTGAGGAAGCCAAGAAAAATTCAAAGGACGTGGATGGAAGAGAAGAGCGAAAAGAACAAATTGCCTAGAAAGGCTGTGAAATTGTGAGCACTGGAGAGGGTTAAAAACAGGTTAGATAAATATCTACCGGCAACAATGCTGATCCCGCCTTAGGAAGGGAGGGGAATTAGACAAGTTCTGGAAATTCCTCCAAGACCTACAGCTCTGGGACTGAGGTAAGCTCTAGTAAGAGATCTAAAGAGAGTAATAAAGCAGAGAACCCCGCCATTGCAAGAAAAGGATACAACTCCTCCGTGTATTGTGAGGGAAAGGGTACAAAAGGGAGTCAACTTGAGGCAAAACAAAAAAGATGATGTAAGGGAGGCAGCAGCCACGCCACACCGACAGCGCTGCTTCGCCGCTGGTTTTCTCTCCCCGGTGTGTGCCCCACGCTCGGCGCGGGCACGGCCAGAGGCACACC